ACATGATCTTGAAAAAGGTCCTAAAGATGTAGGTTTTTGCTGCAGCCAGGACAACAACTCCTAATATAGTAGAAACTGCACCTTGTAATACCGGGTAACCGAGCAGGGACAGCGCTTCGATTGCCCTTTTATTGGCTGATGACTCTCCACTCGTAACAAAGGCATAGGAAATATGAGCAGAAAAATCTACCGAAAACCCTATACAAATGACCAGGTTGATCATGGATATGGAATCGAGATTGACGTTCCAGAACGACATGAAACCCGTCACACCAACTATAACAGAAGCTATTGCAAAAGTCACCCACAGGCAGCACAACGGGTTGGGAATGAGCAGAAGGGAGACAACGAGCATTGCCCCGGCAGCAACGGCAACGTTCTGAACGGTGTTCTGCACTATTACCAGGTACTGGTCGTAGTAGATGAATGCCGGGTGATACACCTTCAGTGGAATACTGCACTGCCTGGCTGTCTCTCTTAACTGATTGAGAAGATTCTTCTCATCAACGGCTGAGGTCACGTTCACTGTCTGGAGGAAGAAACGTGAAGCTTCTATTTCATCCTGAGTCTTGTTTAAGTCCCACGCAAAACTGGAACGAATGCTGAACAGTACAGGTAAGTTATTAAAGAATTGAGTCTTATCGTTTATATTTATCGAACTGCTTTCAGCGAGTACTGTGTATACTCTCAGCCAGGACTCTGAGAGGTTCTTATCAACGTAGGAAATGTTCTCCAAATTCTGTGCACAGCTCTCAATGCCACGACGAACCGCCTCATTCCAGTAATCTACCCTCTCAGGAATGACAACCATGACCCTGGGTCCATACGTCGAGAAGTATTTCTCATCATCATCATAGTATGGAATAACGTAAGAGTCATCATTAGCCAGATTTCGAAGATCGATGCCTTCCCTGATCTGAGTACACCCATAAACACTGCCACCCAAATACGCTCCGTACAGCAACACCACGAGTAGCTTGACCCATTTATTTGTAAAAAAAGGCCCATAATACTCTTTAAAGAATATGCTCATTGGATGTTCCCCTTCTGGCTCAGAGGACTGCCTGGAACAGCTGCCGACACAGCAAGCGTTGTACAAGCAGGAGTTCTCAGCCTGATCTTTATCTACTCCCACACGCATACAAGTCAGCCAGTGTCGGTTTCCTTGCTCCCTTTTATGATTTAATACAAGAACTGCCCCAAAGAAGGTCAGGGTATATACATAGCAGAAGACAAAAGCAGTGCCTGTATAGAGGCAGAAAGCTCTCACGGAGGGAAAAGCAGTCCAGGTGCCAATGAAGAAGGCCAAAACATCCGTGAGAGTGGTGATGGTCACAGAAAGTGCTGCCTCTGAGTAAGTCTCAGCCAGCAGAGATTTAACACTGGATTTCTCTTTTTTCCTTGAACTTTGTTCCCAGGAAGCGATCATGATGAACATGTCATCAACGCCAACCCCTGCAAGAGGAGAAAAGGGTAACTCTGCATTGCAAATGGCAGCTTCCACTAACACCCAACAAAACTACAACATTAATCACATCTAAGTCCACATAAAATTTTGAAAAAGAAAGTTGGGCTATTAATATTGCTTTAGTGGTGATACAAGTTACAAGAGAATCAGGAAAACAGATCCTGTGTGTGTAGCTAAACGTAGTACCTTTCAGAAACTCCTGGTGACCTGATGGGTTGTTGATCCCTTACCCTACTCTGCTGAAAGTCTGAGCACACCTACTCCATCTCTGAAAAGTTCTTGTATCTGCTGTCCACATGTCCACTGATGCAGACAACACACATTCCAAAGCATTATGTATTCTGAAGCTCAGCTATCCTTACCACTGGAAGTGTCCTCCATTATCCCTGGAATCTCCTTCATCACTGCAGCAACTTAGACCAATAATTTCTTGCTCTGCCATCAGCACAAACGGAGAACAGTCGCGATCCCCATTTTCCAGTGGCTCACTTTTTTACGCTCTTTGCCCTCCACTTCTCTCCAGTTTCTCTTTCAGCACTTATTCACAATTCATTATTAATTTTTCTTCACATTTATACTGATCCACTCACAAATATTACCCACCAGAATCCTCCTAAACTCTGCCAGAAAGACTGGATACTGGGCTTGGGGGTTTTGCTAAGATACCAGTGTAAGTGAGCTGAAATTTGAAAAGGTACTAGTGGATGGCAGTGAGCCATGCTGCTTCCAGAAAGCAGGCAAGTACAAAGCAAATCATCTGATGTACTGAGAAGTTGTTTGCTTTAATGCAAGGAGGACAAAAGTCTACATGTTATTTCTGAAGACCTGAAGGGCTTCAGCCCTTTCCCAGGTATACAAAAGGGTTTTTCTGACCCTCTTCAGAGCCGCTGCAATTGATGAGCAAACAAAAACAAATACAAAATGCATTGGAATTATGCAGGAAACAAAGAAATGATGCGTGCCCTAAGGAGCATTTGCATTAGACAGCTAAGATGATGCACAGCCTCTATCAACCTGGAAATTCCACGAGCTTTCCTCAGCATGAGACCAAGCCCAAGCAAACTTCACATGAATTTATCCCATAGGAGAGCAGATAAGGATTTTAAAAGAAGTAATTTACTTGCAGCAACATTATCAAAGGGCATTTGGAAAGTTCAGCACTGCCTGTCAAGCAGTCTGTGCAAGAGTGATGTAATGATATCAACTTCCTTGGGTTTTTGTGGGGAGCTGCTTGCACAAATGGTGCATCACTTGTGTAGCTGAATGAGACTGGTTAGTACACAGTCATTATACTGCAGAGGATTAATCATCATGGCTACAGGGACACTAGAACAGTGCCAGAAGTATTAATCTTACCACTCTCTCATTTATAGTTTTCACACCAGAGCACTGGAACTAGAGCAGGCATTGTTTTCTGGGAAAAGCTGCCCTTGCTCCAGAACACAGCTGAGCTGAGCTGAGGGGCTCACCTGCCTGTAGGAGCTCTAAGGAGGCTGCACCTCCAGGTATCTGCTCCCCTCACTGCAGCACAGAATGTTGTATGATCTGATGCTCACATCATAAAAGACTGACACCATTAGGTTGTTTTAACTTTGCTTGTCTTTGATTCAGACTCACTTTTCTACTTACCCAGAATCAGGAACGGTGCGTTTGCTACAGTGACCACAAACGGCGCTCCACAGAAGAGCATCAATCCAAAGCTGCTAAACACAGCTAAGCCGGCAGAAACCACTCCACAGCAGGCAAGCCAGACATTATTTCTTATACAGCTGAGTCTGAAAATATTTCAAGGAATATCTTCATTACGTGTCAAATGTTTCACCAAGGTGTTTGGCATGACAAGTGCACAGGTACCAATGATACCCTGTCTGAAGAGAACTCCTTACGAAAGTTGCTAGGAGGGCTCCCAGGTGTCAGCATTGGAGAAGGTTAATTTCTCTAGGAGGTGCTAATGCATTATTACCACTGGCCAGCTATATTCAGAAGAGTAAAGATGTGTACTGCTCTTTGCATCAATAACAACAGAGATGCAAAATGAAGATACATTAGCTCTATCAGTGAGACTAGACTTAGGGTGACCCAAAAAATGAGGAATTTTTAGAAGCTCTTTGCTTTTACGTGGGTTCTTGGTGTATCACATCAGTGTAATACAGAAGCACCTCCCAGGCAGTAATGCCACACAGAGAAACTTTCTCTGCAGGCAGATTGGCTACCAGCTTTTTGCCAAGACACCCCTGAGGGCTGGCTCAAGGATTCCCCAAGAAATGTTCTAATGGGCATGATGCTTGATGCAAGTGCTAAACCAGACAGCCCACCATGCAAGCAGACCTTTTTTTCTCAATACAGTACACAAACACTGCTGTACAGCTCACCTTCCAATACCACAAAGAAAGGGCAGGTGAAGTTCTCTGTGGACAGCAGATAAGGCTCTAACTCTTCTATCAAGCAGAACACTTAGAGCTGTACCCAGATTTGCAGTAATCTATGAGGCTAGTGCTCATCCACCTGAACCTTAACTAAGCTCTGAATGCTTGTTCAGGTCTTCATCTGCTACTTATCATGAACCCCATCTAAGCAGTTGGGAAACATGCCCAGGTAGACAAGAAAGAGCAAAGAAATACATTTTGCCTGTTATGAAATGTCACAGTCTGCAGCTTCAAGAATGCTTTCACTCGACCAGAAGCAGAAACCAGAGCAGAAACCGAGGCAGGTAAAGAAGAGCAGAAGTCACTGCTCATTGAGCCATAGCTTAGAAGGCATTTTACCTTAAGCAAGAGAAGATTGCAAAGTTTATTGTCAAGAAATACGTTATGGAGAAGAGCGGGATCACGCTCTTGGTATTTCCTTCAAACTCCTGTTGTCTGGACAGCGACGTAAAGTAAGTCACCTGCCATTAAAAGAACAAGGAAAGAAACGATGAAGCACATTTTTTTCTCTTTGGTCTTTGTACACACGCACAGGCAAGGCTAAACATCACGCTGGCACTAAAGCAGTGCCGTGGCCCTCGCAAGCCGCAGGCCACCCGCCTTCTCCCCGCACCGTCTCCTTTCCTTTCCACGACGGGGCTGCCCGGACATTTCGGGGCTCGGCGGCTCCGCACGGCCGTACCCGCCCCTGCGTTACCTGAATGGAGCTGAGGTGCAACTCCCTCAGCTTCGACGAGATGTTCCGCAGGAAGCTGTGCAGCCACTGCCGGCTGTCCTCCGCCTCGGGGCCGTCCTCCCGCAGGTAATACACCAGCTTCAGGGCCCGCGCCGACAGCAGCCGCCCGCCGTCCGCGTCCACGCCGCCCAGCGCGGCCCCCAGGAAGACGCTGCCGTTGACGGGGAACTGGAGGCTCCCCGAGACGGGCGGTCGCTCATCGCCCCTCGGCGACAGCAGCGGGTTGGGGCTGGCGCAGCTGCCGTCGCTGCGGGCGCAGAGCCGCTCGTAGTCGGGGTCGCGCACGGTCTTGTCCAGCCGCAGCACCTCTTCCCACGCCGTCGGGTCCAGCACCGAGGTGCCGTTGGTCGCCACGGCGATGAGGGCGGCGTAGGCGCCCTCGGTGGGCAGGCGGGGGGCGGAGAAGCGCTGCGAGTCGTTGGTGGGGAAGTGCCGCCGCACCAAGTCGCGCTCGGCCTTGGCGGGCCCCCCCGTCGGCGTGAACTGCTCCTCGATGTCGTTCGCCTGCCGCTGCGGCAGGAAGAGGAAGCCGGCGCCCAGCCCGCCCGACAGCAGCAGCGGCACCAGCACGAAGGGCCAGGGGCAGGCGGCCACGCCGCTCGCCAGCCCTTCGAAGAGCCGCCGCAGCGGCCGCTCCAGGCAGTCGGTGTTGCGGCAGGAGCAGCGCTCCGCGGGGTCCCCCGGACCCGCCATGGGCGAGGCGGGGGCGCGGGCTGCCGGCAGCAGCTCCTCGCCGCGGGCGCGTCCCACGCCGGGGGCCGCCGGTGTGTGCTCTGCCGGCGCCGGAGGAGAAGAGAGGGAGCGAGTGGGAGAGGAAAAAAAGCGGAACGGAGAGGACTGGAGAGCCGCCCTCTGCACCCTCGAGCCGCGGAAGCAACGCGCGGTTTTCCGTTAAGGGCGCGGCCGGAGCCCTCCCTCGTCATGACGGGACGGGCAGGTGGGCAGACCAGGCTTCTCCGGACGCGACGCGCTCCGCCCGGTCTCGGGTATCCATGTCCTCCCGTCTCCTGGCCCCTCGTTTTCCATAACACTGTAATCTTGCAAAAAGAAAGTGATTTTCTGTGTATAATGAGCTGAACAAACTCTGGGGAGTCAGGTGAGTGTTGAGCTTGTTGCAAGGGGAAGAGTGAGTTACAGCAGGAGGATAGAACACAGCTGGCATCAAGGCTGTGTCATGCACGGTTGTCTCATGAAAGCTCACAAGTAGTGGAAAGCTGGGATTACAAGTAAATTTGGAGCTACTGCTTGGGATCTAGTGCTTTGAACTCCCTATAATAAACAGGATTAATGTGATCCTTGGGTATATGAACAGAGAACAGGCCTAGGGAAGGGACTTCCACAGTATATAATGGAATTAATTAGACTGATGTTACTATATTAAGTACAGAACTAGCTTCGTAAGAAACAGGCTGCAGAATTAAAAGGTGAGAGATGAGGTGTAGGTAGTGATCCTGAGCAGGAGACCATTGCACATTGAAGAGTTAAGGAGATCACATGGCAGTGAAGGTGTGCTGTGCTGTGTGCCCAGCGTGGCCCTCACACCGGTCAGTGCCCACAGGATAGCCTCAGCCAGCCTATGGTACCAGAGGAGCCTGCAAGGCAGCTCCCACATGGTACCAGCAATCAGAAAACCTAGGCTTCTGTTTCTTGTCTCCCCCGAATCTCCTTCAGTCATTACTTCACCACTAAGGGCTGTTCTTCCATCAAAGAGCAAAACACAGACATTGATGATGTATATCATGCCATGTTTGCTCTTTTGGTAAACAGGTTTACAAAACAGGGGAGTGAGAGCTGAACTAAAAGACTTTGAAACAAGGGTTAGTGATTGCCATTGGCAAGTCACAAGAATATCACTGGTGTGATACATCAGAGCTTTGTGCAGTAGCAATGATAGAAAGGATACTTCCAAGTCCAAAAAATACTCTGCAGCCTGGTGTTCTTGACACTGGTAAGTGACAGTGATTTGAGTGGCTTCTGGCTGAGAAGAACAGCTCAGATGTGGCAGTGCTGGAGAGATGTCCAGCCAGTGAGCTAATACGTCCCAGGCAGGCCCTTCTTCTCCTTGCCTTTCTTTGAAAGAAGCAACTTTCTCCTTCCCTGCCAGTACTTGTAAAGAAAAGTTGTAGGTATTTCTTCTCTCGCAACCTGAGCAGATAAGCTTGGCAGCTGTGGGCATAAAGCAGCCAGCCAGGCTCTGAGCAGCGTTCTATGTCTCCTACTGTGCTCAGCATTTAGGGCAGGTTGGATCCTGGTGAGTCCCTTTTCCATGCACAGGTGTTCTGCGACAGGTACGTCAGTTCTGAGTTTCTGTGTGGGAGATGGGCCCTTAGAAGCTATTTCCTGTAGCTTCTAAGTTGTTGAAACCTCAGTTTTAATTAGTGTGACTCCAAAGTAATAGATTCTCCCATGCTCAGGTCTCAGTTTCCTCGAATGGATTGGCACCGTGTTAGAATAAGAGCTGTTCACAGAGGAGGAATCTGTCAACGGAAAAAAGGGGGTAAGTTACTTGATGCCATGTAGACCTTTGATGTATTAGTGTCAAGGACTTGCCCAGCTGGAAAAGATAGCCTCTCTTACCTAGAGATAATTGCAGAGAAGAATAGACCTGTGTCTGGGAATAAACTATAGAGGCACCCCTATCCCCATAGCCACACATAGCAAGAAGACTTGTAGGATAGCCTGGCAGTGGGTCATGTTGTGGATGATTCACTGACATTGCAGCAGACATGAAGAGATGGTGTCCAGTTAAAAGCTTTCACAGCAATAAAGGGTTCTTGGCTTCTCATAAAGGGTTATTAACTTCTTTAAGCTCAACAAGAGCAGGAAGTAAAATCTGACCACTTGTCCTATCCAGTTTCTTTCTGGCTCCTCTGGAGCTGGAGACAAGCTCTGGTAATAGTCAGCAGGCAAAAACTGGCCTAGAGGCAGGAGCTACCCAATACATGGGAGACAGGTCAATGCCTTTAGGTTGAGTGCCACATTTTGTGTTTCCCAATGCTAAAGAAATGGTGACAAGAAAAGCTGGTATATACCTGACATGCCTGGAAGAGAGCTGCGAGGGATAGCTAATAGGTTGTACTTGCATCTTTGCAAGCTGTGTGGGGACCCAGCAATACAATCAATTAATTTCTAATATCCCCAGTGGCCTCATCTCTAGGTCGTGTCAGAACGTGTCTAGCACAAGTACACTGTCCAACTCAAGCCCACATAAAGCAGTGAGGGTGGTAAACACCAAGAAAAAGGAGAAACAAGGCCAGGGTGGGAAGAGAAGGATGGGAAAAGTGCACACTGGAGCAGAAGGAGAGAAGAGAGAAGGGAACACCTGGGCAGGGGCTGGAGTCAAGGTGCTGCTGGAGCAGGAGCTGAGAGATGCAGCCTGGAGGAGCTGCTGTCAGTGAAGGAACCAGCACTCGTGTGCTGTCCCCAGTCTCTTGCACTGGCCACTGCCTCAGCAAAGGGGCTGAGCATGGCCTGGGGGTGAGGGGACTGAGGAGCAAAAAGGTCAGTGGGGGGAAGAGGTGTCAGAAGGGAAGTAGATTTTTTTCTTGAGGGTTGGTTGGCTTTTTCAGTCTCCCTCAATACCAGAATCTGTAACTAAGAGATTGTTAATCGGCAAATAAATTAAAGTCATGGAAATTCTCTGAAGGACTAAACAAGTTTTGTCTGTGATAGTATCTTCCTGGAATTTCTCTTGCTACAATTTGTGACAGTTGGTCCTAATCCTTTCCCAGGACAAGGATATTTGCACTTTCAAATTCTCGGTCAGAGCTAAGATGGCTTATTTCTGCCTCACTCTTTGGAATGCCAGGACAGAGGGGCATTTCTGTATCCAGGTTGCCCATGGAAAGTGCTATGTCAATTGTGTGAGATGCAGTGGACCCTGGAATAAAAAAACCCGTGGCATCAAGAAGTCTTTTATCCCATTTTTTCCACCATAATGCAGCATTGGGTATGCCTGTGCCATATCTGAAGGAAATTTGACTAACCTGATCTTTACAGTGCCCATCATAGAACCTGACAGCGATAGGGAAGTTGTCTCTGATCCTATCCTATCCTATCCTATCCTACCCTATTCTTCCCGTATTTGGATGAGGCAGGAGTACTCTGTGGGCTGCTTAGCTACTGCCTGTGTTTGCATGCCTGGCTGAAACAATAGGACCTTGTTACCTGTGCGAGGCAGTGAGAGCCTGTGGCCCTGAGGTTACCTGACTGCAGATGACTTGGCAGATGCAGTGCCTCAAACCCCTGAATGCAAAGAGAGCAGTCTAATTGTCAAGCTGGGGGCTGTCATGTGGAAGATATGTGCCCTCTGTGCCTTCACTAACAGGTGTGCAAGAAAGAGTCACGTTACCTGGGGCCTTCAGGAAAATGTCCACAAAGGAATAATGAGGGTGAGGTTGTGATGAGGGCAGCTCAATGGGAGGTGAATTCCTGGTTTCCTCTAGGTTGACTTGTCTGTTTAGAATATAAGATTCTAAAGAAAACCCAGAAGCTGTTCTGGCACCAGGACCCGGAACTAGCAGATGTTTATTCATGTTGAGGGCCTGCTTTTCCTTCTCTTTGGGAGCACACAGTGACACTGAAACTGCCACCTTCTCAGTGCTGGCAGGATGAGTGGCTGCTGCTCCTCTGCTGCGTGATGAGACTGGTGTCTGTGTTCATTTGATTTTTCATTTTTTTCATTTTTAGGAAGAATGAAGTTGCCCAAGTCTTTTCACTGTCTGGGTGATACTGTGGATAGAAACTGGCTGTATATTACTGCGATGGACAGAGTTTCATCTTATCAGTGTAGGATACGTGTAGAGAGGCAAGGTGAGCTGTCAGTTTTTGTTACTTTAGCTCCAGGAATATTTCTTTCCAAGCTGATGTAAAGAAAAATTCCTGTCTCCACCATGATTTCAGAACCATGAGGTTTTCCATGAGGACTACATAATACCCTGGAATGCAATGATTCTGATGTAATGTGAAGCTGCTGGAGAACCTAATCAGTTTTGTACTTGTACATCCTTCCAAAGTGTCCATAACATTTCACTTTCTTTAAGGTACATAAATGATTTCCCCACTGACTTCCATAGAACCACAAAAGGTTTACCTCTTTAATCAGTGTGATATTAATAGAGAGTCTGTTATCTTTATAGGCTGCTTATTTCCTCTGTACATGTTTATAAGCTGCCTCATAAATTGGTCAGTCAGGTCTCGACATCTTCAGGAACTGTAAGTGCACATTATTTATGGAGAAAAACCACAGAGTAAAACTACAGTATCTATCACTCCTGCTTTGATCAGCCAATATCTGTTTTGAGCTTTGTTCATAGTTTTTATTTAGTTTTTATTTTAAACACTACCTTATTGTTTTGAATATTTACATGTCAGAGAATACTGATCTGAGCACAAACTGAACTTTGATTTGTTAGAGCTCAAATACACAAGAAGGATCTTGCAGGGATTAATGCAAGCATTTATTCAGTTATCTATGGAAGGGATGACCTTTGAAATTTCCTTTAACTTCATTTACTGGAAGGTAAATTTTATACTTCCTTGAGAGGGAAATTTTCTTCCAACTCATGTAATCATTGCCCATCTACTCCGGTGTTTCTGTGCCAACAAGATATCAGAAAAGTTATCTCCTTCTTAGGAAATCTAGGCTCTCCTGGCATTTATCTATGTTTATTATGGATGTACCTATCAGAGTATTATCTTCTGTTGCTGCTGCAAACATGTAAGTCTGCTTGTCTGGCCCTACCTGTTCCTAAACTGTTAAAGGATCTTAGACACTCATCTGCCACAGAAGCAAATGCTTATACTGTCACCATCTAGTGTGGGTGGGCAGTTCTAGTCGAAGGGGTTTCAATTTATGCATGCTAGATTTAGTACTTAAATCTACAGCAAACTCCCTTCTCGTGGTTCACATGCCTGTCTGCCATTTCCATAAAGTCTGTTTAAAAGAATACTGTGTTCTAAGGGACTTCTCTGACAGTAAAGCAAAAGTTCAGCTGTCCAGATTCTTCTGGCTCATTCTAAGGTTACAGGATTATAGGGACAAGTTTTTAGGGAGAGACAAATTGACAAGAACTATTTCAAGTCCCTTTGATGTATCATGTATTATTGTGAATGGGCAAAGTTTGAAAAAAAAAAAAGAGTCAATAAGCAGAAGAACAACAAACCAACCCATTCTTTGTGACTAGTGAGGACTTATTTGATGTGGAACAGAACCTCAAAAGGCAGGCAGAGCAACTCTGTGCAGAAGACGTTTACAGCAGTATATTACTGTTTCTATCACAAAGTCTTCTTGAACATCTGTAATTACCTGTCTCCCTTTGTGATTCCCCTCTCAGAGAGTTCTTGTCATGTGAGATATCATAACCATGGTGGGGAGTGCCCTGCTGAAGGATAAGTGAGGTAATTCTCCCTTAGGAGCATATTGCGTCAAGTGTGTCTCATCTTCTTTGTGCTTTCTTTTGAAGCAACATGATATCTGTCTCTGAATGGGATTTTCTCTGTGATTTTGAAGGTTCTAAGGGGTGGTTCTGATTCTCCTTGGGTTTTTTGTCGGTGTTTCTTTAGATCATGCAGAAAAATATGCATGTGTCAAAGATTAGATTATGATTCCTTGTAGGTTAATTTTCCTTGACACAGGGTGTAACAAAATGCCATTTCACTTGAACTTGACACTGGTAAGTGACAGTGATTTTAGTGGCTTCTGGCTGAGAAGAAGAACATTAAGCTCAAATGTGGCAGTGCTGGAGAGATGTCCAGCCAGCGAGCTGGCAGGCCCTTCTTCTCCTTGCCTTTCTTTGAAAGAAGCAACTTTCTCCTTCCCTGCCAGTACTTGTAAAGAAAAGTTGTAGGTATTTCTTCTCTCGCAACCTGAGCAGATAAGCTTGGCAGCTGTGGGCATAAAGCAGCCAGCCAGGCTCTGAGCAGCGTTCTATGTCTCCTACTGTGCTCAGCATTTAGGGCAGGTTGGATCCTGGTGAGTCCCTTTTCCATGCACAGGTGTTCTGCGACAGGTACGTCAGTTCTGAGTTTCTGTGTGGGAGATGGGCCCTTAGAAGCTATTTCCTGTAGCTTCTAAGTTGTTGAAACCTCAGTTTTAATTAGTGTGACTCCAAAGTAATAGATTCTCCCATGCTCAGGTCTCAGTTTCCTCGAATGGATTGGCACCGTGTTAGAATAAGAGCTGTTCACAGAGGAGGAATCTGTCAACGGAAAAAAGGGGGTAAGTTACTTGATGCCATGTAGACCTTTGATGTATTAGTGTCAAGGACTTGCCCAGCTGGAAAAGATAGCCTCTCTTACCTAGAGATAATTGCAGAGAAGAATAGACCTGTGTCTGGGAATAAACTATAGAGGCACCCCTATCCCCATAGCCACACATAGCAAGAAGACTTGTAGGATAGCCTGGCAGTGGGTCATGTTGTGGATGATTCACTGACATTGCAGCAGACATGAAGAGATGGTGTCCAGTTAAAAGCTTTCACAGCAATAAAGGGTTCTTGGCTTCTCATAAAGGGTTATTAACTTCTTTAAGCTCAACAAGGGCAGGAAATAAAATTTGACACACCAAGATCCTCCCAAACCACACCCTTGCTTCGCCCCTCTTTCCCTCCCCCTCCCTGCCTGGGAGATGGAGTTGAGAATTGGAGGCACAAAAGGTGAAAATCACAGGTTGACATAAGGAAAACTTACTGAAAACAGCAATGAAATAAGAAAATGAATAGTAACATCAACAATATTAATAACAAAAGTGTACAAAGGGAGGGTTGTTTATATGTGGAAAGTTCACCAAGCCTGGGACAATGAAAAACAGTGGCAGACAGATCCTACGCCTGCCACGCTCCCCACTCAGAAGAGAGGCCCTTTCCCCCACCCCTGGTAATGGCATAAGATGGTATAGAATAACACAGTGTTTTACCATGTCCCCTCCTGCTGATCTGGGCTGGAACCAGGACAGCTGGAGAAAGGAAGACTTCCCTTTGGTCATAGAGGGTTGGGTTAGAGATTGGCTAGACAGACTTAACACCCGTAAATCCATGAGCCCTGATGGGATGCACTCAGGGGTGCTGAGGGAGCTGGGAGATGTTATTGCTAAGCCACTCTCCAGGGAAAACGTTAACCATATATGAATGCAACACTGTGTTTCCATTACGAAGTCAGAAGAAGGGAGAGATGAGTTTGGTGAGTTTGAGGTGACATCAGATGAGGGAGAGTGAAAAAGGCATCTAGTACAGACTACTGGACTTGATCCTTTCAGAGGTTACTTTTGGATATTCCACTGTTTCTCTGGCCTTTAAGAAGATGGCAATTTTTAGGAAGAAAGCTCAATATTGCTTTTAATGTCCTGATGTAGTCAGAAATGTTTTGGGGACTTTTTGTCTTTTGACAAGGCTTTTTGTGCTTGCACACTTAAATGCTCCTGCCTGCTGAAAGAATACAGCTGTGGAATCAAACATGAAACTCAGGTTGTAAGAGAGTTTGTGCTCAATTTTCAGAAACGATACCTCCAACAAATAGATGAACTTTAAACATTAGTTCAGATTTGTTGATATTAAGAGCAAACCATATTGGTTGTTATTTTAAAGACAGAGTTTTTAAATCATATTCTTAAGATCATAAAATTTTACTGGGCTATTTGATGATGATCAGAGGGCTGGAGGACCTCTCCTGTGAAGACTGGCTGAGAAATCTGTGGGTATTCAGCCTGGAAAAAGAAGGCTCTGGAGAGATCTTATAGCAGCCTGCCAGTACCTAAGGAGGCATAAAAGAAAGCTGGAGAGGGACTTCTCGGAAAGTCATGGGTGATAGGACAAGAGGCAATGGCTTTAAACAGAAAGAGAGTAGGTTTAGATTAGGTATTAAGAAGAAATTCTTTACAAGTTGCCCAGAGAAGCTGTGGATGCCCTATCCCTGGAAGTGTTCAAGGTCAGGCTGCATGGGGCTTTGAGCAAACTGGTCTAGTGGAATGTGCCTCACCCATGGCAGGGGGTTTGAAGTTAAAAGATATTTAAGATTCTTTCCAACGGAAACCGTTGCAAACCGTTTTGTGATTCTATAGTTCATAACAAGGTATCTCAAGGTAATTGTTGCACTAACTGTACAACATTAGATAAGACAGAGATATTACTCTTGACCTCGTGTAAACCTGATAACCTACAAGTTTACTGCTTCAGGGAAGTAGTTTTGAACGTTAGTCAGGGTCACTGACTAGTCGCATTTGCTTTCATTTCTTTAAAAGGCGTTAGCATTTCGTCATGATTTAGCATGTATGTTTGGATAAGAAACCGCACAGAATCCTATATAAACTACTTCCAGAGACTCAGCCTATTACTCCACCCTGCTGGGATGTTATAAGGTAAGAGCTACATGGCTCACTGGATAACTCTCTAGATGCCAAAGACATGTTTTATGTTATGATTGGAAAATCCTTATTTTTCTATTATTTGCTATTTGAGTGCTAACTTAGGAAGAGTGCTTAAAAGTACCTTTGTGATAAAAGCATCTTTGTTGGGCTTTGCAGCTTTAGCTTATCAATTACATTAAAATAAGAAATAATAGAATCATAAAAATCATAGACAATTTTGAAAGAACTAAAAGGAAACAATTGTTATAGCATTTCAGAATTTGTATTATTGGTAAAATAGAATTTACTCCTAGAGAGCCAGATTCTGATCTCCTTATTCTTGCTAGGTGTCTTTTTATCTTTTTCAGTCTTAGTTAATGGATCCGGGAAGTAAATTTTTCAAAGTGTGAACCTGAGCAGTTATTCTTAATTTCACCTTTCAAAACAAATCTCCAAGAAATGATAACTGAATAATATGTGGGGCTGTCAAACAGTCTCATCTTTGCTTCATTGCTGTCAGTCAGTGACTGAGAAGGGCTCTTTGGGATGTTCTGTGGTATGACTGAGATGAGAATCTATCCCACTGCCAAGAATCCCCCCCAAAACCTTTCAAAAGGCATCTTCTCCTCTTTGTGAGTTGAAGCAACTCCAGGAAAACTTGTATCATCTGAGATGGGCATCCTAGTGAGTTCTAATTGGTTCAGTTGAGCTGATTTTTATCTGACAAGTTCCTTTCCCAGAATTAAGGAAAAATAATCATCTGTCAATTCTACACTGGGGTATTTAATTTGATCCCAAAGAATTATTTTTTTTGGCCATCTAATTGGTTGAAAAAATTCATGTATTATTGTGAGTCGTTTTGCAACAAAAATCTTTCCCTGTGGAGCTGCAAATGAGCTGAAAGCCAGTTACTTGTATGGCTGTAGTGGGGCTACCTGGAGAGCGTGCGTTGTCAGGAACAGTGAGATCATGTGGCTCTCAGCATGGTCTGTGGGAGTCAACCTGTGCCTGCAGATGAAGCTGCTTTAGACAAAAGCTAGGCAACCTTGGGATCCAGGGAATGAGGTGTTGCTTTTCAGGCACTTTTCTGGAGCATGGAAGATGCACCTTTTGTTCCTTCAGCAGCTTGGCATTGGTTGCCTGTTTCCATGGTCTGGTTTAAGGTGGTAATTTGCAGAGTCTGTGTGGGAGATGTGCTTTGTGAATAGGATAGAGACAATAGAGCTGAAAGTCTGACTTGGCCAATGCACTGTCCACTTCTGTAGAGAAGAAGAAACGCAGAACTAATCTAAGGAAAGGCTCAAGAGCAGATCAACTGGCAGGAGTAGCAGAGGTTAAACAGTAAAAAGGAAGTGTCTGTGAATGAGGGAGTTTGGGGAATTAAACGGGGATTTTCCTCTGAAGGGAGGGACAGCAAGAAAAATACAGCACAGCTCTGGTCCCCTGTGGGGAGTGTCGTTGTCATCACAACCAACAATAGCTCATTCAAGATGAATGAAGCTTTGAACAAGTGTAAGTGGTATATGTGTTTGTGAGAAGTTCACCTTTTAAGCTAAGATTTATGTAATGGGAAATGCCTAATTGTTTGATCTGACTGACAGTGCACCTATATTGTGCAGCCCAGAAGATGGAGATTGAGACTGCAGACGAAGTTGCTATTGTTGGAATAGGATGTAACTTTCCTGGAGGTAAGTTTGGGGTAAAAGCAAAGCCGGCTGTGAGTGAACATGGAAAAGCAGAGTAATTAATTAGTGTTGAAATGGAGGAAAACAACATGTTCCTCCCTTAGTAGAATGTGTTGCTTTGCTACTTGTAGGATCTTTTTAAAAGGTCGTGCTGTGGTGGAAACTAGTTGGTTCAAATTAGTCTGCTGACAGACAGACAGACAGACCGACCGATCTGCAGTGCTGGCAGTGGGCGGGGCATTGAGCTGCACATAAAACTCCTACAAACGAACTGGATGGGTCTGGGATGATTTGAACTTTCTGCAGGGGCACTGTCTGGGGGCCTCTGCATTGGTGCAGGACTCTGCATCCATATGGACAGGACAGATCGAGGGCCGAAGAGTATCACCAGCTGTGCCTGTAATATGGATAGGTTGGGTTTTCCTAAAAGAAAACTTCCTGCTTTGTAGCAGTATGTACTGTGGGTGCAGTGAGACAGTAGGGAAATGGGGAGAGAGGGTGGTTAAGGATTTTGTGGGGTTCCTTTGCTTTTAGACAAACAGTGAAGGGACCAGTCATGCTTTTCAATTTCCTCTCACTAAAGAATGATCTGTTCTTTCTCTGGCAATTCTATGTAAGCAACCTAGATTTACCTGTGGGAGTTCCTTGTAGCTGATTGTGCATTTCTGAGTCTGCGAGGGGAGGGGGAGCCCATAATTTAATCTGTTTTAAAAACTTTGACAACAGGAGATGGAATTGACAGTTTCTGGAAAGTGCTGGAGGAAGGCAAAAACTGCACAGTGGAAATCCCCCCTGAGAGATTTAATGCCAAAGAGTGGTATGATCCAGATGATAACAAGCCAGGAAAAATATGTACAACGCGAGCTGCTCTTCTCGATGAGTGAGTCTGCTGCTGCCCTGTGCCACTGATTTTTGTTGTACTTCGACTATGGGTACAGCTGTTCAGAGGCTGTGACTGATGGGAAGAATAGCAAATTATTATGGTCAACAGATTTGTCTTTTATTTGAATTCTACATTCACTGTAAATGCTCAGGCTGCAGACCTTTAATGAAATGAGAAGTTGACATGCACAAAAAAAATCTTATTGGCTCCTGGGATTAACACTCGGTAGGGTTGAATTGTAGGGCACAGAATTACTTCAGTGATTAGTCCCATGTTAGATATTGAATTCTGCACTGAAATCAAGGGATGATAGAAGGCCACACAAATGTGATCTTGGGGTACAAGATTAAGGTTGGACTTGGTCTTTTGTAAGCGTGGGCCTACTCTGAAGATGTTTGTAAAGAAACACACACACACAAAGTATTTGGAATTTGTTGTTAGAGAAGTAGGGGTATCTCTTGGAAACACTTGAGCTGATGCTCTAGCTATTGGTTGTAAACTGTAAAGCATGGGTCTGTATTGGCTTAAAATAAGGTAGAAGACAATATTTGTTTATAACTCATTGGCTAAGACCACATTACAGGAGAGGGAGACTCATTCTGCACATTTCATAATCTGAGGAGTCCTGTTGGTACTAGTGGAATAACCATGCAAATAAAAGTGTCTAGGAGTGGGCTCTTACCTCTGCAATGTATAATCATTGATAAAAACACATCTTCTGTGGTGGGACATCAAACATCCTTGGCCTAGACACATTTTTCCTAAATTTCATAAATGGGGATTGTGGCCTAAACAACAGTTGTTGCTTTGCTTTTTGTGAAATTGCGAAAAATGTGTACTGTGAGTCTAGAAGGAAATATATATTGTACTATTTTCTGGTCTGTGCATTTTAGATTTAATTCCTTTGACAACCACCTGTTTGGGATTAATAACATGGAAGCTGAACGCATGGATCCTCAGCAGAAGTTACTGATAGAATGCACATACAAAGCCCTGGAGGATGCAGGAGTCCCTGTAGAAGCTGTCAGTGGCACCAAAACAGGTGTTTTTGTTGGTAAGATGAAAATTTCATGTCAAAGAAAGTGTGTTGGAACCTCCCAAAGACTGGAGCACTCCTTCATAAACTTTCCAGATATGTCCAGCACTGGAGATCTAAGGCTACTGTGCTATGCTACTCCTGGTTATCTTTGGAGAGAATTACTAGGCTCTAGAAGTTCATGATACAATTCCTGTATCTCTTTTAGGTGCTCCTCTTCCTGTCTTCAGGTACTGAAGTGGAAGCAGGAAACAATTAAACTGCCTCCCCAACCCTTCCCGAGAATGATAGTCCCAAGCCAGGCTGTGATGTCCCACCCTTAAGGGGAAGGGAACACCCAAGATTCATAAATGCTCCAGTCTGCAAAAAACCACAGTTTTATTAGTAAATTACAAAGCTGGCATGGCAATTGGTATGTCAGTCCCTGACCTACTATATAAGCACATGGCAGTGGTTTTGGTTAAAGGGGTAGGGTGAAAGTGAAGAGAGAAAGGAAGAGATGAGTTAAAGAGGGGAAGAGAGAAAGAGAGAGAGAAAGAGAGAAAAAGAAAGAAAGAATGAAAGGAAGAAAGAAAGAAAGAAAGAAAAAGAAAGAAAGAAAGAAAAGAAAAGATGAAGAGATCACCAGTTGTGGTTCCAGCATCCAGGGTCCTGGGGGTGCCCCCCAGGCTTGGTGGGGGTACCTTTTTATAGACAGGTTTCCCCACCCTGAAGACAGGTTTCTTGCTTTCCATGTGAAGTAGTTATCATGAGCAGTCCGTTCTTTGAGATCTTTCTGGAAATGGGTTGGAGGGTTTGTGAGTCTTGGGTGGTCTTGATCCCCCCCTGCACTAGATTGACCTTTGGTCAACAGTTCATGCCCACTTCTGTGCTGATGCTGTCTTTTGTTTGTTGATGGGGACAGAGTGGTTGGAAAGTGGCCCAGTGGAAAAGGCCCTGGAGGTGCTGGTCAAAGTTGCTGAACATGAAGCAGCTGTGTCCAGGTGGCCAAGAAGGCCAATGGTATCCTGGCCTGTATCAACAATAGTGTGGCCAGCAGGTCTAGGAAAGTGATTCTTCTCCTATACTTGGCACTGGTGAGGCCACACCTTGAGTACTGTGTCCAGTTCTGGGCCCCTCAATTCAGGAAGTACATTGAGGCAGATCCAGAGAAGGGCAGGAAAGCTGGTGAAGGGTCTTGAGGGCATGTCCTATGAGGAGAGGCTGAGGGAGCTGAGGTTGTTTAGTCTCGAGAAGAGGAGGTTCAGGGGTGATCTTATCGCTCTCTACAACTACCTGAAAGGAGGGTATAGCCTGGTGGGGGTTGGTCTCTTCTCCCGGGCAACTAGAGACAGAACAAGAGGACATAGTCTTAAGCTGCACCAGGGGAAGTTTAGGTTGGACATTAAGAAGAAATTCTTCACAAAAAAGGTGATTGGATATTGGAATGGGCTGGAGAGGTAGTGGAGTCACCATCCCTGGAGATGTTTAAGGAAAGACTGGGCATGGCACTTAAGTGCTACGGTCTAGTTGACGTGGTGGTATTCGGTCATAGGCTGGACTTGATGATCTCAGAGGTCTTTTCCAACCTAATTGATTCAGTGATTTTGTGATTCTGGGACTGTGTCTCAACAGACTAGAACAAGGATGTTTATCCCAGAAAAGTGCTGCTCTACCTCTGCCCCCTTCTGGCCCCCTTCTCCAGTCACATCTTGTTCTTTCGACAGTTCTTGGTTATTACCAGCAGGCCCTGTGTGGCTCCATGGCTCTCTGGCTATCGGTGTTTGAGATGAACACATTAGCCCCTTATCTTCTGGGCTTCTGCACAGGCCTACACTTTTTTCCAGTACACTGGTTTCCAGTATAATCTTGGTTAAGGTGTTGTGGGGGTTAAGATCCTTTTAAACCAGTGGAAATCCTCCTGTAGGCATTAGAATGGTACCATGGTGTACTTGTCCAACTGCTTACCTCAGTACCAGGAAAAGTTATGGAGGAGATGATCCTGTGGAAGGACATTTTACAAAACAATGCTAAAATAACAGCACATTATTGCTACTGTAATCTGTGTGTCTTTAAAGAGGAGTTTTCTGGGGGAGTTAGGCTGATGTACCTATAGGGATAAACTCTTTAGTTTACCTTTTAATCTGAGACATGCCCTTCTCCACAGAGGATACTATTCCTTGCTCTCTGAATAGAGGTGCTGCATTTTCCACACATGCCCATGCATTTGGGGATCCAAGGTACTTCGAGCATATGTGTTCACAGAAAGAGGACACAACTGCTCTCACAGGCCAAGGTTCATCACAGAAGCACTGATGCCACATGGTTTACTATTAAAACTGAAAACCAAAACACACCATCAGGTTTAGAGCTGTACATCTCTATTGTTGGCCTGGGTTAACTTGACACATATCTTATATTTTACAGGACTTATGAATCGAGACTATGAAATCGTAACAAGCACAGCAGTGAGTGCAATAAACCATTATGATGGTACAGGAACAGCCATGAGCATTGCTGCTAACAGGGTGTCATTCACATTTAATCTGACTGGACCGTCCCTGACTATTGACACTGCCTGTTCATCTTTTCTTTTTGCTCTGCACTACGCCTTGCGAGCCATTAAATCAGGTACTGGGTCTGAAGAGACGCTGGACAATGAAATTAGGATTGCTACTGTTTATCACCTGGGCCATCTCAACATGAGTATGTTTCTGTTTTACTACAGGAGACTGTGAGGCAGCAATCTGTGGTGGGGTGAACTGTATAATGGATCCCCGCACCTTTGTATCTCTCAGTAAAGCAAAGATGATCTCTCCAGAGGGCATAAGCAAACCCTTCTCCAAAAAAGCAGATGGCTATGGAAGGGGAGAAGGCTGCGGTGTTGTTTTCCTCAAACCACTGAAAAAGGTAAACTTTCTTGTGAAGCAGCCTAAAATAAGACTGGTTGCTTGCCTGTATCTTGTATCTTCAGCTCTAATAATTACTTTTCCAGAGAAGATTTTCCAATTCATGTTTAAGATTAATGAAGGGTTTCTTGAGCATTAAATATTTATGTTCTTCCCCTACCATGGGACAGGGGTCACACAGTTAGAAGTTAGCATCATACTCTGTCTGTTCTTGGCTTTGTTGTGTTGTTTTGTTCTGTCCTCCACAGAGAGAGCATGAGTTAATTAAAAATAATTTAATTTTTATGAAACAGGCAAAGGAAGACTACAGCAAAATCTGGGGTGTGATAAACATCAGTGCAGTAAATCAGAACGGTAGGTCCACGACTCCGATCACAAGACCGTCTCCAACAGAGCAAGAGAAGTTACTGCGCAGCATTTACGGAAGTCGTGTCGATCCCTCAGTTGTGCAGTACATTGAAGCGCACGGTACAGGAACTGCTGCTGGAGATCCTATTGAGGCTGAAAGCTTAGGTAATGTCATTGGTAAAAACAGGTCTTCCCGAGCTTCCATTCTGAAAATTGGTTCAGTGAAAGGAAATATTGGGCACACCGAATCAGCTGCCGGAGCAGCCGGGTTAATCAAAGTGCTTCTGATGATGCATCATGGAAAGATTGTTCCATCCTTGCATTACTCAAAGGAGATGAGCAGCATCGATACAGAGAAACTAAACTTTGCTGTTGCCACAGCTGTAGAGCCCTGGGAAGAATCCAGTGAGTATGGAAGAGTAGCTGGCATCAACTGCTTTGGGTTTGGAGGAACCAATGCTCACATTGTAGTCAGGCAGGTCAAGCAGCCAGAGCCTCTTCCTGCCTTTAAGAGGCCCCTTGAATTATTTCTGCTGTCAGCAGCATCCAGTAAGTCCCTTCAGATGACAATGGCTGACACAGCTGAGCAGCTGAGCACAAGAAACTCTGTGACTCTCCCAAGCCTGGCCTATACCTCTGCCTGCAGAAGAAGCCATGCCAACTACAGGTACCGGAAAGCGTTTGTCACAAATTCCCTCCAACACTTGCAGCAAGAGCTTAAGTCAGCCAGCACTGACCCTGCCATGTCCAAGGTGGAACCACAGCTGGTGTTCGTGTTCTGTGGCAACGGCGTAACGCTGAAGGAGTTCAGCGAGGCTCTGCTGAGCTCAGAGCCAGTGTTCAGAGACAAGTGTAAGGAAATAGAAGACCTTTTTCGGCAACACACTGCCGTCAGCGTCCTGCCAGCAAGGGATCATAGCCCACAGGATTTGTTGAAGCCAGAGCTCTCCCAGCCCTTGCTTTTTACCCTGCAGGTTGCCGTAGCTTCCCTCCTGAAGTACTGGGGCATTAAGCCTGTTGCTGTTGTTGGCCACTCGGTGGGGGAAGTTGCCGCTGCGCATATTGCTGGGTACCTTTCCCTGGCAGATGCAGTCCAAGTGATTTATCACCGGAGCAGGCTGCAGGCAAAGACTGCCAGTGGCAGAATGTTGGTGGTTGGAAACATCCCCGTTCAAGAGATTGCTGAACGTCTGCATCCCTACTCGGGAAAGGTCTGCATTGCTGCTTTCAACAGCCCAGTTTCCTGCACCTTGTCTGGGAATGTAGACTCAGTGGAAACTGTCCAGAGAGAGTTAGCTCAAGCTTTCAGACAGAGAAACATCTTCCTTCATGTTTTAAATGTCCCAGCTGCGTACCACAGCCCCAGCATGGATATGATACTTGAGGAGCTGGAGGAGAAGATAGAGCCTTTAGGAAAGCAGAAGGGGGAAATTGAAGTGATTTCAACGCTGACAGGGGTGGCTGCATCTGAAAATGACTTTGCTCGTGGCAAATTCTGGGCCCGGCATACTCGTGAGCCTGTTGCTTTCAGTCAAGCCATCCAAAGTGCAGCTAGAGACAGGGAAAACGTGGTGTTTGTGGAAATAAGTCCTCACCGAGCATTGCAGCGAAGCATAAAGGAAACTCTAGGAAAAGGCACAAAGGTGTTCTCCTCTTTGGAAACTGATGCAGAATATCAGACGCTCCTCACCTTGGTAGGAAATCTGTTTGAACTGGGATATAATCCCAAGTGGCAGCACTTCTATAATGGGTATCAAAGTGTTCCGGTGGCCATTCCACGCTATCAATTTGATCGCCAAAAACTCATGGCTTATCTGGATTTCCGTCAACAAGCAAACCAAAGAGGTGTCAGCGCCAGTCATCCTTTGATTTATGGCATAAACAGTGACAACATGGAGTTTGGCTGCCTGCTGTCTCAGGACACAACACCATACTTATACGAGCACAAGAACAATGGGGTGGCCTTAGTCCCCGGTGCTTTTTATGCAGAGCTTGGTCTGGCCTCTGTGATGAGCAGCTCAAGGCCTAAAGTACCTCTGAGTACTTGCCAGCTGAGTATTGTTTTTTCTGCACCCTGTGTTCTCACTCAGAGTTCCCAAGTGTTGAGTATCAAGCTGAGTCTGCAAAAAGATGTGACAGCCTTTGAGATCCTCTCTTCCTCCAATGCAGTTTATGCTGCCGGCCAAGTGGCAAAGGGGCCTGAAGCTGTGGTAGAAGAAAGCACCATCTCCTTCCAAGACATCTATCAAAGGTGCAGATCAGTGATTAGCAGAGAGGAGGTTTATGAAGCACTGTCTCAGGTTGGCTTTCAGTATGGCTCCATATTTAGGCAGCTCAGTGATGTGCATTATTGCCAGGAACTAAAGGAAGCTATAACAAGCGTAAAGGTGAACAAGGAGACCGTCAGAGAGATGTACAGCTACTGTATCCACCCAGTGCTGCTGGACTGTTTTCTGCAGATGACTGCTGTCTTGACCTCAAGGACATTCCAGTCCAGAGCAGGTTTTCCTTCAGGGATAGGCAGCCTGGTGGTGCTCCGGCCGCTGGAGGAAGAAATGATGATATATATGAGAACAAGCAAGTCCACTGGGAACTGCCTAGAGGTCTGTGGATGCTTTTTGGACAAACATGGCTCTGTTTTGGCTGAGCTCAAGCACGTTGCCATCACTTTCATGAAAGAAGCGTCTTCCAGAGACAACGAGTTCCTGTTTGAAAACAAGTGGAAGGAAGTCTCTCTTTCACAGACAATTGGACATCTGGGGGTTAAGCCCAGAGTCCTAGTGTTTGCAGACAAATTTGGGATAGCTGAGCAGCTCAAAAAGTACTTGCATCCTGCTTCAAGATATGTTATGTATGAAGATTGGGAAGCCCTCTTGGAAGGCCGCACAATGAATAAAATGAGAGCAGAGGTTGAGGATTATGATGAAATTCTCTTCCTATGGGGAATTCAAAAGTTAAATGAAGATTTCCCAAGCAAAGTGGTAGATCAGTTGGCAAAGTGTTGTGAAGCCTATCGCCAAGTAGTGGTGGCATTAAGAGAGAAAATGTCCCGCTGTTCAGTCAGAGTGATCACTTACAGAACAACAGAGAGATACGTAGACCACGTTAACTGTGGGTTTGTACTGTATGGCATGACCAGAACTTGCGTTGTTGAAGTTCCAGAAATCACATTTCAGTTGATTGACCTCAGCTCTTGCAGTTCCCTGGACATCTCAGTGCTAGTAGATGTTCTTGTCAAATGCAGAGGTGGGGATTATCCAGAAGTTTGCATCAGCCAAGGAAGAATTTATGTGTCTGAAATCAGACACACACCTTTTATAGATGCAGATTACATCCAACCTGTAAGATCTCTCCAGAAGTCACAGACGTTCACTTTGTACACGTCTGATCCGTACACAGCGAAAGACTTGTCTGGTGAACTATCCACCAGCACTGCTACTCAGCTTGACAAACAGAGTGTTGAAATTCAAGTGGATAAAATTTGTGTCCACTCAGAAGATTATTTTCCCATTAGTGTTTCTAGTTGCAACTTTGGTAATACACTGTATTGGAACTCGCAAGCAGGAGACAAACACAGACTTTTAGCTCTTGATTTCAGTGGCACAGTAACAGCAACAGGAACTGATGTGAAAAAAGTGAAAGTGGGAGATCACGTGGTTTCATGTTATCCCACTGCTGCATCATCCAGGGTTCGGATTCCAGGAATAGTTTGTTTCAATGTAAAGAAATTCCCATTCTTCCAGAATGTCCCTTGTGTGTCCTACTTCATCATTGCCTGGGAAATCTTCACTCAGAGATTACCCAAGGGGAAACATGGCAGAACACTGGGGATTATTACTACAGAGCCATTATCGGTTTTGTGCCATGTTCTTTGTGCAGCAGCAGAAGAGATGGGTTGGAGAACAGTCCTTGCGAGGCCCACTCCTGATAGGTTCCAGTATATAAACCTGTGCAATGCCCTTGTTGTTCTTCCTCCTGTCAACAGACTGTCTTGGGAGGATCTGGCCCACATGTACTTTCTTAAAGATGTGGTGATCGTGTGTGGCAATCGACAGTCTGAATGTATCCAGAATGTCAGTGAAATTGGTCATGAAAACATCAGCTTCCACATCCTTACCCTTGCCAGCGTTTTCCAGAAAGCACCTCTAAAGGAATTGCAGAAGACTGTACATGTCTGGGTCAGTTCCATGGATATGAAACGGTTTAGACGTCTCTCAGGTTCCGTTTTTCAGCAGGCGGAGAACTTTGAAAGGCTAAACTCTGTGATGTCCTATTTCACGTGCACTTCTGTCCCCCTTGCTGTACTGAGAAGGCAGAAGGACATCAGCATGCTATCAGACATACCGTTGTACGAACCCCAGAAGCAGCTGTTTAAGCAGAATGCTGTTTATGTAGTAGTGGGAGGGCTCACTGGACTCGGCTTTGAAACGGTGAAATTCATAGCCGAGAATGGAGGAGGGTGTATTGCAATACTCTCCAGGAGAATTCTGAGCAATGAGAAGCAAGAAGAGATGAAGGCTTTGCAGCAGCAGTACAAAGGGAGCAAAGTAGCGTTTGTGCAGTGTGACGTGACTTTGACCGGTGATGTTGAGAAAGCTTTCAAGTCCATTGCAAACACCTTTGTGGGGAGTCCGATCAAAGGTGTATTTCAAGGTGCTGTTGCTTTACACGATGGCCACCTTGAAGTTCTGACCTTGGCTGACTTTGAGAAAGTGCTGAGCCCAAAAGTAGCAGGGACTCTAAATCTTCATTGGGCTACCAGAGGCCAGGAGCTTGACTACTTTGTGTGCTACTCCTCTGTTGCTTCCTTTCTGGGCAATGCCACCCAGACAAACTATGCAGCTGCAAACTCTTTCCTGGATCTCTTCTGCCTTTACAGGAGGAACCGTGGGCTTTCAGGCCAATCCATTAACTGGGGTGCTTTGAATCTTGGCATTCTGCTCAATCAAAACCACATCCAGAGCATTCTGAGATCCAAGGGCATAGACATTCTGCAAGTGCATGAAATTCGTGAGTATCTCAGGAAAAGCTTACTTACGAATAACCCACAGCAAGCTGTCGTCAAATTGAACTTTCAAACTTTATATCATCATGTTTTTACTCGAATAAGTTCACTCAAAACTCGCTTCATATCACTTATGTCAGAACATGTCAGTAACAAGCTTGAAACCCCTGAGGAAACTCAAGTCCCAGATACTGCCTTTCTCAAATCGGAAGACTACATCACCTCCCTGGTGAGTGACCTCACTGGACTGAACCCCGAGGAACTAACCATGAATACACCACTTTCATCTTTGGGCATAGACTCTATGTTAGCTATGACAATTCAGAACCGTGTGTTTCAAGAGAGAAAGGTGGACATACCTCTTCTGAAACTGCTTGATCCTCACACAACTCTGTCAAGTTTAGTGGTAGTTTTAGAAGAAACAAGCAATGCAAATGGAGTAGTTGAGAAGAAGAACGGTGCAATCGAAAGTGTAGAAAATGAGAGCCGGCTGTAGGAATCTTGTCCTCCAGGAATTGTGTGACTTTGAAGATACCCAGACCTTTGTAGCATCTCAGAAGATGTCGTTGCAGATGGGTAGAACATCTGGTGATGCTGAATGTATTCTTCTTCAATGACCCAGAAGACTCCACACCAGGTTCTTCTGTCATTGCATTAGCTGTATTAATCTCAGTCAATAGTTTGACTTGTTAGCGTTTGCACCTCTAAATTATGAATATACATGTAAAGCAGCATGACTATTTTTGTAATTATTATAGTCTTTTTGTATTTTTCCTTTTTAAAAATATTTTCAAGTTAATTTCATTATCAAATTAATTTCATTGTGAATTGTGTGTCAATAGTGGTATCTTTTTGAAAGTCTTTTAGATATTGGGAATTTCAAGATTTCTTCTCAAAAAATAAAGCTTGATATTTTTCCTTATGTTTGTAAACATAGGGAAGAGCTTATGGTTGTTTTGGAAGTGATTTGGAGTTGATTTAATAAAAAAAATACATATATTTTTTGCATCTCCTTTGTCCAAAGTAGAGGGAAGCTTCTAAGGACTTTTTGGGAAATTTATAGAGTTTGAGCTGGAGGAGACCTTTAGATAGACTTAAAACTCATGACTGCTCTCCTAAAAATCCACATCCCATTGATAATGTCAGTGGACAATATCTATCAGGACAGACTATATGAATTCTGAGCTCAGAAGATTGTCTTAAAAACAGCTGGAATCAGAATATAAATACACCTTACTCAGCAGAAACTGGAGCCCCTCCAAGATCACTGGGCCTGGCACTGCTGGTGATGTGGATGGACAATGTAGTCAGGATTTAAGCCTGGAACGAGGCTTAATCCAGGATTTAAATGAAAATATTCTGTTTATATAGTATTCAGATGAAAGATAGCAAATATTTGCTGCCATTTAGGTTCCCCACTCTGCAAGTGCAGTAAAGTGTTTGCGCAGCTCTTCATGTTTGTCTGTCCCCAGTGCAAGCATAAAAGGGATTTCATATATTCAATTCTGGTTATTAAATAAACCAATTGCAGACAAATTACTTAAATTTACTTAAATCCTAGCAGAGATGAGAATAGCTGACACACCTCACAGAGCAGACAGGCTGCTTGTTTTTCAGCTGCGATGTTAATTTTGGCAATTTTGACAACAGCATGTGGATCTGGAAGAAAGAGGCTGACTTGTGTCATTTTCATGGTTGGACTTAGCAAAAGGTGACATCCTCAGTGCAAAAAAAAAAAAAAAAAAAAGAAGAAAAAAGAAACCGTATCCCAGAAAAAACCATGAAATTAATTTGAAAAGCTGCACTGTAGAAAGTCTTTGAGGCCAGTAATCTCTCATTCGCATCATATGCAGCTCACATCAATCGTGTATTTCCCTGACATGGACTCTCCCAATGTCTTATGACAGACTGCAGTCTGGGAGACAAAATGTGGAAGAGACTGTGGATTTCAACCTGCAGAACACTGTTGCAGGTAATCTCAAACGAGCTGTTTCAGGAATGTCAGTATGGTTCAGAGACTGTTTGAAGGAGATGCATAATCTGGAGCCGTACTTTCCTCTTTAACCAAGGACTCTTATTAATTCCCTGTGAGCCAAACTTACTGATAAGAGACAAAGTGCAGTGGAAAATAGATGCTGATATGAGTATACGTAAATGAACCTCGTAAAGATGTCTAAGTTATGTTCATTATGCATGACTGACACTCTAAGCCCTGCAGCTATGATATGAGTTTTATGTACAGAGTGACAGCTAGTGGCTTCAGGGGCTGCAGTTGTGAAGTGAAGTGTATCTCACTCAGGTTAGTATGTGTCTCAAAAAAGCAGACATCCTGGAGGTACATCAGACAGAAAGAGTCAATTTTCTGGTAGAGAAGGATTTGGAGGTAGAAAACACAGATAAGGTGTGATGTGAAAGGAATGGCGGAATAGGGATTGTGTAGGGCCGCTACGGAAATGAATGCCTCAAGCTGTCAATGGTAAACACAGCTGAGCAGCTGAATGCAGGAAATCAATTGCTCACTCCAGACTTGCCAAGTTACCTGCCCATAGAAATGTCAAGTTTTCTGGTGCTTTTCAGAAATAGTTGCTTTTAGCACTCAGCAGAAGAAATATCTGTCTTCATCTTTTGTCTCAGTTGGGTTCTACAGTTTGAATCCACTACTAGAAACCATGGAAAAAACCCCTGAATTTAAAGAAATAGAAGTGGATTCATCACTACCTGGGATTGCTGCTTCTGCAGAGGAGGTCACTGAACAATGCAAAAAAACCCTAAGGCTGTGTTGTTTTTAGGCAAGAAATAGCACAGAAATAGGAGAAAAACTGAGAGTAAACATGTCTTCAAAATTACATGATATGGAATAGATACTTTGCAGAAAATAAGGGATACTCCTCGCTCACTAACACTGGACATCAGAAGCGTGTTTGCCCTGGGATGTAATCCAGACTGGCAGCCCCTCTGTGCATCATTTGCTCTTTCCCTGAATCATTTATCTGAGTGTCCCAGAGCCCGTTCCACAGTACCCATGTGATCACAAGAAACTCGTGGCCTGTCTGGACATATCTGCTGCTGAGAAGTTCTGAATCTGGAACTGTCAAAGGCTCTTTCATTGCTAGTTCTGGACTTCAAAGGCAGAGGTTGCAGCGACAAGAATACAAAAGCTAAATAAAACCTGGCATTTTTGTCAACCTAAATTCCATCACTATGTATGTCAGTTAAAGGGAAAAAAAAGGTGCAGGACATCTGAGCACTATCATAACATTTGTTGAACACTTAACAATGCTTTTATGCTTTGCTTATACCTTTATGCTTCCCTTCCCCTTCCCCTTCCCCTTCCCCTTCCCCTTCCCCTTCCCCTTCCCCTTCCCCTTCCCCTTCCCCTTCCCCTTCCCCTTCCCCTTCCCCTTCCCCTTCCCTTCCCTTCCCTTCCCTCGGAGACCACGTTGGGTGAACCATTGTTGCCGCGTTTCTCTCTTGGCTCCTGCCACAATCCGATGGTTCTGCACTTCTTCCTTGCACTGGCACTGGTCTGGGAGCCCGTCAGGTGGGTAGAAGGACGATGGAGTGCTGGCTCCGGGAAACACAGTTCCTGAAAACATTTCAGCTGTCAGCAGCCTGCTCAGTTTCCTTTTTTCCCTTTTTTCTTTCCATAAGGCTCATTTTCTGTTTTTAATTCCCATGTTTATTTGCCACTGAAGTCTTGGCAGTGCTTTATCTGATGGCTCAAGTTTGCACTAACAGTCATGAGCACACAAGCCAGATGAAAAGTAAATACTGAAATGCTGGCTGGGATCGGAAATGTCAAAACCAGGGAAGCAAAAACAAAACTGGAGCCTGACAGAGGCTTACAACTATGAAACCTCTAAGTGAAAGCTGGACAGTGTGTAGGAAGATAGGAGAGATTTGTTCAAGGATTTTTATTTCTGTTCACTATATTGAACAAAATCAAAGAAAAGATGCTAAGTGATAGTCTAAAGCAGGATGTATTTTCCTGAAACCGTTCTTGGCAAACACTTGTTTAGCCTGATCCTTGAAAGATTCCAGCAATGACAATTCCACAGTACCCTTCAGCACTTTGTTACACTTAGTGTAAAGAAAGCTTTTCCTGATGCATTGCACTGCTTCTTGATACTTCCCTCTTTGCTGTAATTCTGTTTGTTTTCATGGAATACTTTGGTTCTTTCTTTATGTGGCTCTTCTCAAGCTTTGAAGCTCTATGTTTGGTTTCTTAAAACTCTGAGGCAACTTGGTTTGTTTCATATTTATCACTTGCTGATGACTCAGTTCCAAAATCCATTCAATTTCCCAAAATTATTTCACTAATATACATTCATTATGAAACTATTTGGGTTGCATATTTTTAAAGCTGCTCATTGATATGAATATTCTGCTATGAACTGGAGGCAGCTGTCTGTGAACCACATTGATAAAATTAATACAGTAAAAAGTATAATTTAAGAATTGACCTTGGCTGTTTCACAGTCTGCACATGCTTACATTTTCCCCTAGTGATTTTCCTGATATTAGTTATAAATTCAGGGCTGGGTAAATGGTTTGGCAAAATATTCAAAGCTTCATGACTTGGCTGACTGATGAGCACCAAAACCAGATGTTCATCCTGATGTATCAAAGAAGTAGCAAATGTACTTATTGCACAATGAGCAAAAGCAACTGAAATAATTATTTTTTTACTGTACTAAAAAAAAAAAAGGATAAAGTGGGAGATGACATGTCTTCTTTCCCCAATGACAAGGTGAAATTTTTAAAATTTCTTCTTTTTCTAAAAAGCAGAGCAAAACACTCTCTTTGGCATTACACGAGAAAAAGAGAGAATGCTGGTTCTTTTTCCTGCAGTTGGCTCACAAAAGCAAAACAGAAGACATGCATGGAAAACTTCTAAATAACCTACTTTCTGATGGACATGGAAATACCTGGAAATTGCTATGGTGAGGATGGAAGTCTAGTTTCAGATAGAAAGAGGAGTGAATCATGACCTTAAATGTGCAATAAGTGGCTTTGATGCTTCTGCTTTAAAGGAAAGGACCTAAATCACCACCAACTTAAACTGAAATCAGAGGACTGTCCACATCAGGTCATTCAGGAATGAACATGCCACTGTCTGCTAGAGGCTGCTGGGTTCAACACAGGGAGGAAATATCCATTTTTTCCTTGTCCTCCAGGCTTTGCAATGACTTTGTAAGCAACACTTGTAACCAATTGCTACTTAAAATTTTCAGCACATAAGCCTCTGGGCTGAGTATTCTTTCTGCTTCTTGTTATTGTCAGTCTTAATCCTACCATATTGTTAAGGGACCATGTCATGGCTAAGGGCTCTGCTGTTATTAAGCACTGTGCCAATACCGCTCAAAAGCTACAACGCTCAGCTTTCCAAACACAGTGGTAAATCTTTGAGTAATGTTTTCAGTCATGCCAAAGTGACTTGGGGCCCTAAGCCAGAACTGACTTAGAGATGTACATTTGTATTGGCAAAAGCACTTATGCCTTGCTTCATTCAGCCTCACTTAGTGTCTGTCTGTGCTTCTACATGCCAAAGGGCAAGAGACAAGGAGATACATCCTTGCAAAACTTTCAGTTGATCCATCTTTTAGCATCCTGTTGAGTTACTTTCATGCAAAGTCAAGCAGCAAGAGCAATGTTAGAAATACACACACATATCCATCTCTCCCATACAGGAACACTTAATTCTTTGTGAGATTTACAGTGAGAAGAATGAATGGTTTGGGACAATGACTTCTGGCTTTCTCCTGCTTAATTCCTGGTGCCTAAGTCATTTATTTACAGAGCAGATCTCTCAAAGCTGACAGATTCTGATTGCGCTAAGCTGATGAAATATATGCACTTTCCTGCCAACTAAGGAGGTATTTCTCAGATAATCTAGCCTGCTGGCAGGACAGTGTCTCTCAAGAAATGTTTCCCAAAGGCATTCCAGCTGATTTGGTGCAGGAACTTCCATCAGCTCCAGGCGGCAGCTGAGACAGTGC